AGTAAGGTACGGTACGTAGGACGACTAACTAACGAACTAAACTAACTTAATAACTAAAGTAAAAACGTAAAAACGAAAACGAACGTACGAACTAGTAGTGTGTGTGTGTGTGTGTGTGTGTGTGTGTGTGTGTGTGTGTGTGTGTGTGTGTGTGTGTGTGTGTGTGTATATATATATATATATATATATATGTGAAACATTTTTCACGAGAGTATTCTCTTCTATAAAATTTAATAATCCCTTTCTGATTCTTTTTTGAGACACCAGCAACTGAGATGGAAAACTCATACATTGTGTCTCCCATTGGAGGGGGAGCTAGTGAGAGCAGTACTTGGCGAGAGATCGGATCCATCTCAAGCAAGGAATACTCTTTGCCCAATACTAGTGGTTGTTCAGAGAAGTTCTGTGAAAAGAACCTTCTGCTATAACAGGGGGTCAGCAGACCACAGAGGTTAAGATGCAAAGATGTACAGTATGAAAGAAATACTTACAAAAATATTCAGATTCAATGTTGAATCATCCCACATCTGCATCCCAAAGAGAACTCAAAACCCATTTGGTTGGTCACAACCACTGGGAATAATCTGGCTCTTAGTGTTGGTGGTGGTGGGGGTCCATACTCCTCTTCCAGGTTGATACCCTTGCCCTACTTCTGATGGAGAAGATGCCTAAGGTCTTTACTGAGAGACTGTGCAATCATTTACCACTAATAGGGACAGCAGGACCTGTCCAGTTGAGTGGATTTCTAACCATTCTATTTTTATTCTCTATTCTTAAAAATAGTATAGAGAGAAAGTTGAAGGGAGGATGAGTGGAGAAAACATCCAATCACCTTAGTGGGCAGTCAAATTCTTGGAGAGCAATGAACAGTCTGGAATGAAAATCAACTGTCCATGTGAAAAAAAGGATGGGAGATGTCCAAGGCAAAAATGTCATGGAAACATCTCCCACAAGTGAGAAGGAGAAGAAAATACTTCTAAAGGTGGCAAAAGGTGTAGGGCTTGTGAAAGCCTTCAGAACTAAACAAAGGTTTCAGTATGAAAGAGAAAATGGATGAGGGACTGATTAGAAAGGCTTGGAAGAGATATGCAAGATCTGGAAAAAGAATAGAATGGCTAAGGAAAAAGACAGATGGTTGTTGACACTGTTGCTCTGTATCTGGCAATCACAGAAATGAATATTCTGCTTTTGAAAGGCTATGTATTGAATGAAGTGATAAAATGAACAGTCAGATGACTTGGGAGGGAATATCAGATGGAGTAGCTTTGATAAACTTTTAACTTGTGCTGATAAATCTCAAGAAAAGATGAATGAAAAAAAAAAGAAAGCAAGAAAACAAGCTATTCTGTAAGAAAAAATTTTTATGCCTTGCAACAGAAGAGACAAAAGCCACATGTGAAAATTAGGGTATGACATATCATGATGAAAGATGGATTTCCAAGGTTGATGTAAAAGAATCTCCAAAATGGAACAGGTAGTCTCCTGGATCACCACAGACAAATGAACAGAAACCACAATTGAGCTATCCAATGGGGACAATGAAAATAACCCAGCAAGGAATGCTTCAAAGAAAATGTCAAATGTAGGCATACAGAAAGAGAATGGACCAATCATGACTCAAAGTATCACCACTAAGGCTTCATATTCTGGAACTGGTGACCAAAAGGGTAAAAGATCGTTTTGAAGGGAGTCACAAAGCCATTGATAAGAGGACTTCAAAGTGGGAGAAATCCACTGAAACATCAGAGGATGGAAGGACCACTTTGTGAAAAGGTTCTGGTTAAAGCTCCTAGGCCATGTCAGGCTCTCAGCCAGATATAGTAGGCTTGAGCTAAAAAGAGGTACTGAGAGCAAGTATGTCACTGTGAACTGATACAAGAAATGATGGTGGAGTTATTTGAATGGATAATGATAAGATGTCCAGAAGACAAGACAGAAAACTGTGGCAAAAACAATTAAATTACTAACATCTAGACGAAAATTACTTGTAAAAGCCATTCCTATGGACACCAAACATTGGTAATAGTGAAGATGTCCAGAATCACACGCTACTCAGAGGTATTCGTTAACAGATGCAAGTCTGAGAAAAGAGGAATGCCCAGGGTCATACTGGACTAATAGAGCAACTATAACAGCAAGAGGTACAGAGATACAGGAGAGAAAATGAAAGATGTCAGTGGGTCACTGGATATATTTCACTGATCTGCCAAAGGCCACTGAAGGGGATGCAGACGGGAAAATTAAAAAAGATAAGGGACTCTGGAAAGGCTATAGTCCCTGAAAGAGACAGAACCTCTTGCATAGGAAGAATGGGAGACGTGAGAGCCTTGGAAACCAGAAACTACTTGTATCAGAGGTGTAATGAAGACTGGCTAGGAGGATCCAAATGTTTATTATTACTGTAGAAATCCAGACCCAATGAGTACATCCTCCATGTGAATTCCTTCAGGACTTAGTTGAAAACAAAACAAAGCTTAATTGCTGAAAGACATATAAAGCTCCTGAGAAGACACCTGTGTGAGCCAAGAATCTTCTGCAAAGTGAGTCCTTAGGTGTACAAAATGTAAGACCTGAGCTCTCAAAGAACCAGATCCTGGGAATGACTCCAGAAACAAGTTATACTGAGCCATTTCATGGCTGGCCTGTTATGAGGAGGCCATGAATGGGTAACATGAGAAGCAGAATAAGGGGAGGGTGGACCCAACAAATCTCACAAGAATGAAAAACCTGTTGGGTTCCCCTTCCCCTGGACCTAAATAACTGGGGACCAGAGTGAGCAGAAACAAGTGATTAGCTGCACCAGGATGAGGAACTCTCCCAAAAAACATCTAGAATGAAGGGTGCCAAATAAAGTTCATTGAAATAAGACTGAAGGAATCTTAACTTAAGAATGTAAGGCATTCTGACCAGGCAACTTCCAGAAACTAAGAAATCAAAATAACTGGGCAACAGATGAAAAAGAAATTGAGGCACCATGGAGAACAGGTAGGTGCAAACTCCTTCAATGAAGCTGTTGGTAGTCACATGCAGAGCTTCAGAAAGAAAGAGTAAAGAGGACAGAAAGCTAAGAAGTTGAGCAAGCAAAAGAAGAAGACAAACAGATTGAGAGGGATGGAGAAGCAAAGTAGGAGAAGATGTTCTCTAAAGTAGAAGAAGATGTGCAAGGGATGGGAGCTCTATGAAAGAGGAATCCCAACCATAAATCACAGATGAGTTCCAAAGTCAAAGGATGTAGTAAGTGAGAGTCAACACAAAGCTGAGGAAGGAAAGAACCTGCATCAATCCAAAATCAACTGACATACAATAAGCTCACCCACAAACCAGCAAAAACAACTAGAGTAAAAGAACAAAATGTCATACACTTGAGTGGTCAGAATGGCAAAGGACAAAAGTGGTGTTACCCAATTCTTGTCAGGATTAGAAGAACCAGAAGCAAGGGTAGGCTGTGGAAACAATGTTCACTCAGCAGAAGCTACTAAGGTCGAATAATAAAACTCCTACTAAGAAGTGTCTGGTCTTTAGGAGGCATCAGAAACATTGATATGAGAACTCACATTCAATAAGACTAAGAAATCTGAATTAATTGAAATTATTATTATTATTTTCTTTTTTCATGTGTTTTCTTTTTTTTGGAGGGGGGGGGGCTTTCGTTTTTTTTGGACAAAAATGACAAAGGGCAACAGTCTTTTCAAGGAAACCATATCCAAATCTGTTAAACATTTTCCCAATTCTTGTGATTTAGTTATGTAAGGAAACAATTTAATACAAGAAAGATAATTCTTATTAGATGCTGTAACTGAAATTATTTTAAATTAAAAATTAGGTGCAGCAAAAAAAGATCTTTTATTTAAAAAAAGGCCTAAGAAAACAAGTCTAAACAGTGTAGTATCAAGTAAAAGAATGGGCTTTTGGTTTATGCAGTGCACAAGGGGAGTACCACACAAGGATGAGGTACTGCTCTCCTATGGATTAAAAACTATAGTCTAACACCAGTTGCATTATATATTAGTGCAGTTTACATTATTACATGTAGGAGTGAGAGCTCTTAGGACAGTGGCATATGTGCAAAAACATTTGGCAGTTGGGTTGAGGCACTAGTTATTAGTTCTGTGAAGAAGTGAGTAACGTAGTCTGAAGTGTATGATTAAACACTTTAAAGTTCATCACAGTATGTTAGAACATTAGATAGTGCAGAGTCTCCTTTATTAATGCTTTATTCAGTCAGGTGAATTTCAGATGCTTACCAGAAATAAATGACGCTCTTGATGATCACCACTTCGAGCTGAAATCTTGATAATTTTTCCCTCCTTCAGAAGTTCTCGAGTAGGACTAACAAGATCTACAACACCACTTATCATTTCTTGAACCTCCAGTAATTTTTTAAATTTATCCTGAAATATTACAAAATTTTAATAAGGCAAAAATGTTTTTATTAATCAATTAAGAATACAGGAACACTGAAATAAGCAAAGTGAAAATTTTAATGGGAACCAAAGATAAACCCCTCCAAAATCTGAAAATAAGCACCAACTCATAAACTTGTAACCTCTTACATAATATGTTTAACAAAACTTTAAAATAATTAACAATATAGCACCCAGTACATCAGAAAGAAATCAACTGCATAAGCCACATTCTATCTTAACAGAGAAAACAAATTATGCTGAAGAACAAAACTTATACTTCACACCTCTAAGATACAAGGCATCAGTTTAAGCTTATCAGACCAGAAAGACTTTTTAAAATGTAGTCTGTCTAAGACTCTTGCAATTCTAAAAACTTCAATCATGTCACATTTAGTTTTTGACAGTTTAGAAACAAATGCTCAGAACTAAATTATTTTAAACCAGCTGTCAATTTAGTAGGCCCTCTTCTTAGGAAATCAGCATCCTTCCTACATAAGTAAATAAAAACTAAGCAAAGTATTTAAAAAAAAAGTTCTATCTAGAGTTTCTGTACAGTAATAATAATAATATTTTTACTCATTTAATTCAAATTTTTTTTATAGATAAATCCTAGTATTCAGCTATCTCTAATAGGCACTGTTAGATATCACCATTTTCTCAGTAAGCACATTAACATGTTTTTGGTTCTATAACACTAAAATTCTTCTCACATAACAGACAAATATTTTCTTGTTTCTTTATCCTAAGGTAGTGGTTTCCAACCTGTGTATCACAGCAAGTTGTTAGGGGTGTCATGAGAGTTTCACCAAAGGAAGAATAATTAAAAACAATAAAAAAAAAAAATCTACAAAAAAAATATTGCATGTGGCAGAAGGAGTGTTGTACAAATCAAGGTGAGTGGGTTAGGGTGTCATTAGTATAATAATAATAAAAAAGGTTTGGAAAATACTGTCCTAAAAGCATGAAATTGTATTTCTCAATATTCAACCAACAATATTGGATCAACAGCATATTGTGGACTGAACAATAGATCATTTGATCCACAGACTGACATATTAACCATTAGGGTATGCCAGGTCAAAAGATTTGGAAACCTGGGCAAAATTCATTGTACAGTCCAGCCCCATTTATCCAGTCAGCTGTGGGTCTAAGTAATTAATGGCTGCATAGCGGGGTGACTATATTACCAGGTGTCACTGTATGAGGTCAACTCTGGAATAACTCAACCATAATACTCACCTTTCTATGTTCCTGTTTGATACAGAATGTTGTAATAATATCTTTACATATTTTTGCATTTCTTGTCTAAGAAATTAAATTCTATACTGTATTTTTAATTAACAGATAAATGCAAAATGTAGGAAAACAATAGGCTTCATGAATTTTCCTTGCACCACACAGTATCAGAGGCCAAGGCATGATACTGTTGTTTATGTGCATATGTGGTGACACCTGGCAGTAATAATACTCAAATCATGAAACAACAATTTTCTGCCCTTTCCATCAATATTAGATGTGGAAATGACAAGAAGTGGCCATCACATGATTTGTAGTTGCTAGCATTCATTAATTAAGGTATCAGTGGGAGAGCAGAAGTGGGGGATCATTAGTCTGAACTGGATTGTCAGTCTAAACACAATGATTTCAATTGAGAGAAGGCTTTTTCATATCATTGAATACGCAAAAATTTAATAAATTATTACACTAGAATTTAGCACACACTTTCCTGCCTTTTTCAATTGCAATCAAAGTTGTCAGCCTAATGACTCAACAACTTAAATGTCATGAAACAGTAGACATCACACTCTTGAGAACCAAACTTTTCAAATTCCAGTCATTTGTTTGGATGGGTAAAATTATCATTTTTTTAAATAAATCTGTGATCAACCAACTGTTTACATGCCAACCATTCCTGCCTGCTGCTGTAATGTAAACAAGACCTGGGTGATTTTACGGTAGTGGTCACAATACTGAGTTTAAAGAGACCACAAGCCAAGTTGACTGCAATACAAGTGCACTTAATAGGGGATGTTTTATTTTGAGGTTTCTCCTGTTGTTTGCTGGTAATGGACTTGCACTCTTTTGCAATGTGCCCCATTTTATAACAAACATAACATCTCTTCTCCCTTCTGTCACCTTTGGTACACTCCTGCTTCTGGTCAGCCATTACTGGTTTCAAATTTAACTGGATTATCTTGGACTTGCCAGTTACACTACCTCCATGGGCTTCTATATACTGTTCTGCCAGCTAGATCATCTTATCTAAATCTTTTGGTGCTCTCTCTTTTAGAAACAGTGACATGTCAGTTGAACATGTGGTCATGAACTGGTCATTTACTAATAGGTCTGTCAGTCCCTCAAAACTGTTTTCACACATGACCATGTCAATCCATCTGGTGAAATATTGCCGAGGACGTGACAGTGTCACAAACTGAAATACAGTTTCTCCAGTGTCTGGTTCAACTCCTCTGAACTTCCGAAGAAAACCTTCTTCAGTAAGTTTATATCATTTCAGTAAAGCTACTTTTAATTTGTCATAATCAATGGCATCTTTTGATGTCATGCCTGTATATACTTGTAGACCTTTTCCTATGAGAAGTGGGCTGAGACAGACTGCCCAGTCACCTTTGACCCAGTTGTGACTTTGGGCAAATCTTTCATATCTCTCCAGGAAAGCATCCATGTCATCTTTATGTTCATCAAACTTGGGCAGCTTGGGTCAGCTAGCCTTGACTCCATTATCATTCTTGGGTTCTTCTCTTGGTTGGGTGAGTTTTGCTATCTCAATTTGTGCTCTTATTATCTCTATTTCTAGTCTCTCCTCTCTCTCTTTTTCCTCAATTTATATTCTAATTTTTTCTATTTCTATTTTTCTATCTTTTTCTTCTTTCTCAATTTGTCTCTTCTGTTGCTGTTATTCTCTTTCCAGTTCTTGTTTAACAAACTCTCGTGGTTCACCGTCTTTTAACCCAAGTTGAGATCCTCTTTCTACCCATTTACCAAAATCTGTTGACATGGTTATATAGCGTAATTTTAAATTAATCTCTACACAATTTTCATTACTACTATAGTTGTGTGTATATTGGTAGGCCTACTTGTTCACCATTGTATAATCCTGGCTGTGGTTGCCAATCGTCAGAATTTAAAAATCTGTTCTTCGCCTATTGTCAAAGGCTTTTAGCTATATTTCTTAATAGTATAAATATATACTATGTTGTTGTTTGGCTTAGAATTCTTCTACAGTAAGTGTCTGTGACTTGTAAGTGATAAATTCAATGATGAATAAAAAGCTCGCACTTCACTTGTTTTCAAAATAATATATATATTCAAACAAGTTAACGTATGTACAATAAATTCTTCAACACTATAGATATTATGGACATATAAATACTATATATGTAGTTCTCTCTTTCTGTCAAATATCCACTTAGGCCTATTCAATTACTTTAGAATTTCAGATGACATGACGAACTATCTTTATTTCTATTGCACTGTGATTCACTTACAATTGTGGCACCAGTTACCATAATTGTTTGATCTTTCTTTTGAAGATCCTCTGTTCCTTTTGTCAAAGTACACTCAGGCTGATTCAATTACTTTAGAACCATGCTTTCACGGAATATAATTATTCTTCTTATCTTCTTTTCTACTGTTAGTTTCACTAACATATTAAACATTAGGCCTATATCAATCATTAGACATATCACTTCTACAGTATTTAACTTCACACCAACTTTTTTCTCTTTCCCTATTATCTGTCTGCTTCTGTCCGTTTGCTGCTTCCCACTTGTCCCATCACTTACTCGTCTGTCCACCTTCTATATTCTCGACGTCAATGAATTATTGTCAAAACTTCCTACATTCGTCTGCTTTTAACTGTTATTATAACAAAAAACTAAACAATAATAAAACATTCACTCACAAAAATAAATAATCACTAATATCTATACCAAACAGTCTTTTATATCATGACAGAAGGAAATATTTGGGACTGAGCCAAAATGGTTGTAATTAAGGGTTGACTGCTATGCGGGTCTGGACCATATGTTAAAATTATTAATTTGTAAAATAGCTTATTTAATTCTGTTGTACATGCTGCTAGTTTAGATGCTTTGAAGTTTTTGTTGGATAGGTATATGGATGTGAAAGCTTATAATTTCATTTTGTGAATACCTTCTTTAGATAAATGGTCTTTGTGTACTGTTACATTCAACTTTGTCTTAAATGATTAACATTCAGATAGATATGAAGTATTCTTTCTTCTTGCTTTCAACCAAGAATAATAGCTATTGTATCAAGTTTTCAGCTCTAGTACCTACTCATTTAAAACAATATATGGCATAACTAAATCAAAATTTAAAAAATGGTTTTAGTGGATTAAGAAATAGTAACATAAACCTGGCTATTTTCTTTAAACTTAAACTGAACTTATCATAATCCTAAAATATACTCAAAGGAATAAGGTTAGAAATGTTTAACATCTTTTTAAAATCTTCAAACTTGTTAATAAATTCTGAAAAATAAATTCACAGAAAAAACAATTCTATAGTTTACTTAGAGCAATGTTAAATAAAACTTTGGGAAATAACGAAAGGTACACAATCATTTTTTTAAAACATGTCTACTTACAATTTTCTTCATAGCATCATTTGCATGTGTAGCAGCTGTAGACACCAGCTCAAGAGCTTCTAAAAGGTATAAATATTGTAAGAGTACATTTAACAGGTTATATTAAATTTTTAAAACAGCTAAATGTATGCGTGACTGTATACAATTTCAATGTTTTAATTTCTGATAATTGTAGACGTTCTGTTGATAAGATGATTAAAACATATTCTTATATGATAATTCTCACTAATAGAATGCTGGTAATATCAGTAGCTTTTCTATGAACTAAAAACAAATGCATTGGTAATATAAAGTGAAACTTGTCATACCACCAGAATAAGTATACAGTGGTAATAAACAGGAATTTGAAATAAATAAGGTGAAGCATTATAGCTAGAAAGTAGAAATTTACAATAGGAAGGGAATGGGTTCCAAGGTTACACTAAAAACAGGGGTACTACATTATCCAGTTTTGTATAATATCTTCAAAATAAGGCTGTGCACAGATCCAATATTTTTCTAGTGTACAATTAACATGTCATTAAATCAATGATGAAACATTTTAACCGATTTTGTGACTTACATTTACCATTCAATTAACCTTCTATCAGTCAACATTCCTTTTTGTTGAGTGTGTAGCAAATCCTATTTATACTAATGCATCTATTAATACAGATGGAGTACATATTAAGCACCTGATGTGCTCACCATTTGACTAAAAATGGTGACTTAATATTAATACATGGTACTATATTCATTAGTAAGGGCATATAATTTCACATAATAGAAATATTTCTCAACCAACCTGATATGACACTGAAAATAAAATTGTCACTAGAATACTGAGCAAAAAAGTTCAACTCATGAAACAAAATGTTAAGTGCATACAGTAGTACTTCAGAATGTCAATTAACAAAGTAATAAAGTGTTATATGTCTAGTATTTTTTTTTTTTTTTTACACCTGTATCTGTTAAGTTTCCTACCACTTCTGTTTCTTGTTTTGACATAGGAACACTGATTTTAGCATTAGTGCAATTACATCATTTAGTAAACCTCATTTGTTACATCTCTGAATGTTAAAATACTTACAATGAGGTTTAACATAAACATTTAATATAATTCATATTTGAAACCATCAGTACTTGGTGAAACTCTATAATTACAGAATTGAGGAAAAACTAGACAATTGTACATTTCACAAATACATCATTTATTGACGACCATGGTTTCGCCAGTAAACCGTGGTCAAAACCACCGTCGTGAATAAACGATGTATTTGTGAAACGTACAATTGTCTTGTTTTTGAACAATTCTGTAATAACTATTTAAAATCAAGATTATATTCTAAACAATCACTTTACTGAAATGCATATTTTTGATACACACGCATAAAGAAAGCAAACAACATAAATATGATAAATACAACATATAAAAAAAAATTTTCATAGTTATAATTATCATACTTATTCCAGAAGAATATTTATTTCAATAATTTATGCATTTGTTTTACTTTTTGAGAGAAACTGGAATACTTTCATATCACTTAAGGCAGAACAAAAATTGAAATATGAAAGAAAATAGTGATGAATAATTAATACAAAAGAACAATAAAAATAATATAATGTTAAAAGGTACATATTCAAGAATATTGTAATAAAGATCCAATCAAAATTCCAAATATATTTTGTATACGTACATGCACATTTTTGTTACTATCATATAAACTTACTTTCTGTATCAGCTCTATCTGCTGAGTCTTCTGGTAGTTTCTTTAAATAGTCTGAAATTAATTGAAGTGTAACACATATAAATCAAAAGTGAAATGAAGTGAATTATGTCTATAATGTTTTAAAACCTAAGAGCCTCTATAAGAACTGGATAAACTTTATACTGTAGAGTTATTTAATGTCCAAATTCTAAATGTTAATGGGAACAAGTTCCACAGTAATGAGCCATGGAAACAAAATCAAACAAATTTAGACATAGCTTGCACCTTCTTTTGATGTGTACATCCAGTGACTGATAGATATTATGTCTTGTCAAAACTTGTATTAATTCTAACAATGAATAAGGCTTTTCCATGTATATTTACACTCCAGAAACATCAATGCTAAATATTAAACTTGTAAATCAAATCAATTTCTAAAATATCTTTTGAGCCAAATTTTGGTTTTCAGGAAAAACAAAAAATATAGCAAAACTAAAACTTTTACTAAATATTACAAATCAATATTGCTGTTTGGATTACGAGTTCAAATTATTATTAAGAACTTCTGATCAAAACTGAAATAATTATATAGAACAAGACTAAAATTTAAAAAGTAACATATATTAATAAAGACAATATTATACTGGATAGAAATATCAAATGTCATTAATCAATACACCAGAAAATTAAATCCATAGTGATAAGGGGAACAAAATCACCAGTTGGTTACCTTTGCTGTTAATGTTATTTTCAGCTGCAATTTTAATACGAGATTCAACCAGGTTAATCCTATGTCCTTGTATTAAACTAACAATGCAAAATAATCTTCACAAGTTTAATATTAATTAAAAAAAGTATGCAAAAGTTATTATAAACAATGTGTAACAAAACTATTAATAAAATGGAATATGATATTATTTAGAAAATATATAAAAACACCACTTGTTTGGTAGCAAGATCCAAATAACTTACAGGAAATACAAGTACTCTTATAAGCTTTCACGTGTAGGCAATAATACGTATCCAACATCACAAGCTACTGGATGCTATAAAAGTCCAAATTCGAAAACAAATGCAAACTAATTATGCTTATGTTCTGTCATCGTTTCCTTAGTCCTTTTTTGAAGCTTATCCAATAGCTGCTAACAACAACAAAATAATGAGGCATACAAAACTATATATGCTAGTATGACAAAATCTACCATGTTCCACTGCAACAATTAAAGTTTTGAGACAGTAACAACTCAATCACGAAACTGCCTAAACTTTATCCTTGAAAGGAATAAAACTGGTCTTATATTACACTGAAATGAAATCAATAAATTACACTCTCTTGATTCTTACCTTTTAACAGCAACTGGTACCTGGGAACCCTCTGGACTGGAGTTAGCAAGTGATGTTGTAAGGTTAGGTTACCACATTCTTTCATCTTCTGTCATTCAAATAAATCATTGAATTGTATAGATTTGTATTTCTATTATGAACAAAATTGTCTATATATTTTTTCATGAATATACACAATGTCAATTCAACTGTTTACTCTTCAGAGTATATAATAATGCAAAAAAAATGTATTTCTTATCTTAACTAAGCTTTTAAATAATTATTTCATTAAACTTAACACAAAGTTATTCAAGAGCTATCTGCACTAGCCATCCCTAATTTTGAAGTGACAGCCTCGAGGGAAGGCAACTAGTGAATACTACTGTCTGCTAAATCTTAGGTTGGTCCTTAAGAATGAGAAATGGGATTCAACATCATATTATAATACTCCCATAGCTCAACTCTCTCGCTAGAAGCTTGGTCGATTTGACCTAAATCTTGACCACAAATTGACCGTTAGTTTCCATACTATAACATTTAACATGTTTTGTGTATCTTCACAAAATTTTGTAAGCTTTCAGTAAGAATTACAAGTCTTTTATACACAATCAGAATTTTTAAGGAAGTATTTTTACTAAAAATTATCCCATGAACATATGGAGTCAAAGTGTTCACTGATCCAAGTGAAAAGTGATTTTCATTTGCATAATCTCTAAAATTTCCTAAATAAATTTCAAACCTTTTTCAGTAAAATTTTAGAGATTATCTGTTACTTTCTCTACCCTAACTCTAAAAAGAGTTGGTCAAATTGACTGACCTCATAACCATCATAAAAAAAAACAAAGAAATTAATCTAAATTACCCTTTTTTCTTTTTAGAATGACTTCAATTTGTAACAGGAAACTAGACTTGTTTATCTTAAATAGCATGAACTACTAATAATATACATCTGTGTCTACTTACATTTTATTGTTTTATTGCCTTTGAACCTTGTACAACTAATAATCCCTCCACACAAGTTGTAAATCATTCAGCCAATGTGTAGCTCATGTTATCCTATCAAATTACATAATGCAGGACCTACTGGCAACCTGCTTGTGAGCATACCTCATGAAAAATTCATTATTATTTTTTTTCTTTATCTTACCTAAAAAGTTTCTAATTTTTAAACTTTAGTTACTTTTATAATAACAAATAAAGAATACACATATCAAAAGCAAGAAGTATAATACTTACCTGGGTCTTTTTCTTCTCTTTTTTTTTTACTGTCAACTGTAGATGAAACTTAACCACATATTTTTCATACAAATGGTACTATTACACTAAGTAATGCATCTAGAAACACAGAATAACGAAACATAAAAAGCAGACAATATCCTATAACTATAATAATTTTTCTGGCTTTCTAATTGATAAGAGCTATTAAAAATTATGCTAAGCTTGTCAAAGTGTTTCTTGTGGGAATAAAGTTTGAACTATAAATGACATACACAATTTTCTTTACACAAAACAGTGTAATATAATATATCATTTGATAGATTAAAACTTTGGTTTTCTATTGTTTATAAATAATATAGTAATTCAAGTAATATTTCTTTAGGGGTGTGATAAATGATTATTATGCAATATTTCTAATGGATTTTTAGTATTACACCGAGTTTTGAATCTTCAGTTCTCCAATGTCAGTACTTACGTGGATATCATCCATTATCTGTGCAAAACGAGGATGTTTGTTGCACCATAAATTGATCAGGTTCATTGAGTTGTCATAATTTTTCACAAATTCTGTGTACATCTTCAAGAAAGGAGCAAAATTCTTCATGATATCTCCTATTTTGCTCTCAGTTTCCCTGAAACAACAGTTTACTAAAGTTGAATTATCTCACCAATGTCATTTTTGTGAAAGTAATACATATCTTAGTGATATTAGTTAAAATTACAAAAATATTTCAAAAATTCTTTGTTTTCAACTGTTCTATTCCTAATCTAAAAGGATTAGTAAAGTTTTTTTAAAATAACAGAACTTGTGATTTTGATTTGTTCATTATGGCTTGAAATTAGTGTGTGTAAAAAACAGCATTTCAGATATTTCGTCACTGCCCAGTAAGTTTTTCACTCAGTATCAGAACACCAGTTAAGCTTAATGATGAGACAAAAAGTTATACAATATTCTATTAATGGAAAAAATAAATAAATGCAACAAACTTGTTTTTAAAACAAAATCATTAAACTTTCAAAACTGAGAGTTTGAAAACATTCAAGATATCTAAACGTTTTGAAATAACTTTACCAATTCTCAAGCCTTTCCTCTAGCTGTGGAAGTAGGAAGTCGTGATGGAGTTTGTAAAGTGACTTAAGGTTTGAAAACATCTGTGTAACAACCTCTTGTGGAAACATTGAGTGAGCTCGATTCTCTTGGTCAACACGAAATGCAAAGACCTGATCCAGCAAGTGCAAAATTGACACATAAGTTCTCTCAGTTGTCATCAGTTCCATGGCAATCCTGTGAAGAGTTTGCTGTATCTTTTCCATCTTCTCCCTTTTAAGGCCATACTAGTGAAATGGCAGTAATCTAATTAAAGCTTTTAGTATCACTTTATTTAGAATATTACATTAAAGAAACTTCTACAAGGAAACGAATGTCTGACCTTAACTGTTTTTCAAAGCTGACTTGTTTATATATTTATAAATACTTTTAGTTATGGAAAACTTACATTAACTTAAAACCTCAAAGTTTTCATACAGTAATTATGCTAACAAAAAGAAAATTTTATACAATAGTGGGCAATGTCTCCAGAAAATCACTGCCTCAAGACAAATCTAGCAAAACTTATATTTACTCTTTCTTAACATGATTATAAGAACTTTTGATAGCACATAATAATAGTATGTATGATGCTCTTTATACAAGAAAAAAAAGGTATAAAAAAAAACAATAGTTTTTCTTCAAACTACTTTTTTCAAATTATGATAAAAAGATAATGATAATAAGAACAATTTGACTAACCTTAACCCTTTAATGTCCACGGAAAAGTTTTTTCCATTACCATAATTGGCATAAATGTATGGGTAGAAATGATAAAGGGTTAAATACCAAATTTATTTTCAAAATGTAAGAAAGTTATTTTCCTACAATAAATAACCATACATTTATATAAAGAGTAAGCATAATAAGGTTTCTGTACAAATAGCTAATACAGAATCACTCTTCTTTATAAAGAGCTAGTATAATAATTATTCTGAATAAAATTTGTGTATAGGCGTCACTTTGAATAAACAGCAAAGATATCATTCTATGGAAAAACCAGTTTAGTCATTATTCTTTGTAGAGTTTGTGTTTTTTAATTTCGCGCAAAGCTGCACGAGGGCTATCTGTGCTAGCCGTCCCTAATTTAGCAGTGTAAGACTAGACAGAAGGCAGCTAGTCATCACCACCCACCACCAACTCTTGGGCTACTCTTTTACCAACAAATAACGGGATTGACCATCACATTATAATGCCCCCATGGCTGAAAGGGCGAGCATGTTTGGTGTGATGGGGATTCAAACCCACGACCCACGTATTGCGAGTCGAGCGCCCTAACCACCTGGCCATGCCGGGCTCTTTGTAGAGAGCAAATATGCTCATTCTTCTGTGTAAAGAGCAAGTATAGTCATGTTTCTGGTAAATATTTTTGTGTAAAGATTAAGTGAGGTAAATCTTTCTTTAATTCTTCTTTATACATATTTTATACAGTCATCTTTCTGTATAAATAACCAATGCAGTAGCTTTTCCTGCATAAATAACAAAGTCTTCTACTGTATAAACTTAAATGTTGAGTTTTTGTGTACATAATAGTACGTACAGTTACTCTTTTGTATAGAAGTTAGTATCTTATCTTACAATGATAGAATTTAGGAACACAGTATTTGCCTGTCCGGGTTGCACTTCCATGTGCCAATTTTTTCTAACCACCAACTGTAAGTAGCTATATCTAGGGGAACATCATTCAATTGGTTAAAAATTTATGACCCTGAAGGTGCAAATATTGAAAATGTTTACAAGAAAGTTCTGTATACATCTTTTCCAAAATGAATTCGATAGTCCTAAATTTTAGATAGTGGCTTAAAATACCACAACTCTGCATATTTTGTTGAATTTTGACACATTCAACAAACAGAATAACACGATCTGGAAAAACAGATGTCTGTCTATCCTTTGAATATTAACATAAAAATTAGGAGAAAAAGAAATATGCAAAAAACAAGTATATGTTTAGGTGTAAGGCCTAAGAAGAGCAACTCTTATGGATGCATGTTAGTTTCTTTGTGTATATGTTGTTAAAACCAAATAAAAAAAGAATGTTTTCTACTTCAATAGTTTTAAATTATAATTTTCCTGTGATGCTGTAAAATCAAAATGATTTTTTTAAAAGCCAGTTTTCAGAGTACAATAGTTTATGTCATTTTATGTTAATAAAATGCATTAAATTTTTAAATTTTAAAGAAAATGTAAGCATGTGCAATAAGGATGTTTGAACATGTTATCTTTAAGTTTTGAAGATATTTGGTGTGTAATTTTCTAAAATTTTGTTTAAAATTGAATGTTTGTTGCATTTTGAGAATTCTATTAACAAGTGCACAAACATGGATGACTAAATTAAACTTTCGAAGCTGGGGTGAGTACTTACAATAGCAATGTTGCCAGAAGTGGTTTTTAGTTTTAAAAACTTTAAGAAAGAGCATAACTCAGTAGTCAAACATTTGATTTTGTGTGGTTAGATAAGAATGTAAATTGAGTGAAATACAACTATATATTTTGTCAAATTTTGACACATTCTACTAGTAAAGTAGTATTTCTTTATAAACAGTGAATGTAAAATCATACTTCTGAATAAATAACTAGTATAGCATGATTTTTTTATGTATAAAAAGCTACATTTTTTCTGTATAAACAGCTAGCATAAATTCATTCTTCTGCATAATAGGCATATTGTCATTTTTAACTATAAAAACACATATACAGCAGTCTTGTATAAAATCATGGCTTTTATATAAACAGAAAGTAGTCATTTAATGTTTAAAAAGCAAGTCACTATTCTGTATCTTAAAATATTTAAAATTAAAAGTGAAGTAAGAAATTGATTTAAAATAGCTTTTCAAAATAACGTGTTGTTGAAAAAGTAATTTTTATTTTCAATAACTTATTTATTAAGAATAGCTTCATTCTAATATAAAATTATGAAATGTAGCTTAAAATATAATTGTATTTAATACAATACATATAATAAAAAAAATTGCAGTTTGAAAAGTAAATAAGTACAAAGTTAGATTAATACAACAGATTGCTGGTAAATGGTAATTCACCTCAAGGGGCAGCACACATCCAGAGCTATTGGGAATGTCCACATCTTGTACACTGTTATCATCACACTCACTGGGTTCTCCTGCTGTGCTGATGGCATCATCCAGTGATTCTTCTTCATCTTCACTCTCTGATATACTGTCATAACCTTGTTCATATCTCTGAATGACATGTTCTGTGCTGAACCTAAAGATAAATTGAATTATTAGTTATCACACAGCAAGTATCTAAACAGAATGCATCTTGAAAGGGAAAGTAATTGTATGCTTGTTGTACTGTCAATTTTTCATTAAGAAATGATTAAAATTTCTCAAAGAAAAGAATCCTTTTATAACATTTCACAAGTTAGTTTCTACTTGTTGATCCAAATGACCTTTATTTTGAATCTTTTTCATGCTGTCTTCTTGGATAATATCCCATATAAGGGTGATATAACTTGAAAGAGAACATTCAAAAAGAGTAACATTAGGTTTAACTGTTAGATCTACCATAATATTTATTACTATATACAATGAACTTGTAGTAAAATATCTAGTAGGTGGTAGAAACTGAGTTAGTGATACTAATTTCATGCATTACCCAGCACTCGCATACAAATTGACATAAACTACACACAATATCTATGCTTCTAAATTTTAGTATTTTACTGTTTAACTTCACTTTAAAGTTTAAGCATCCAGCAGTGTTGGATATATTATACCTTTATAGTTAATACAATTTATAAATTATAGATCTAATTAGGCTATTACTATTAGTGGTAGTAATAACATTAGTAATAAATACTAATAGTATTACTATTAGTAATACTATTACTATTAATAACTAGTACTACTACTGTACAATCTAGTAATAGTACTTTATAGTGTACAGTATACTGTATAGTAACTTGGGTCTAACTATAAATTATAACATTATTAGAATTAGATATAGTACTGTGTTAGAACTTTTAGGCCGATGGCACCATATATTTCATTACTTTCACGAAGACTGACTTGTACATGCTACAAAGTTGAACAAATGTCAAGCGTCGTCTGTCTGAATCGGTGTTTTGTTCGTATTGGACGACTTGAAAGAGTCAGATTTAATCTAGACCTCTTCCTCCCTAACAAATGTCGAGGCAATATTTTGCCTTTACTTCAAATATGGCGCTCGAGGACACTGAATGTGACGTCTTGCGCGCTCCAACCTATTTAAACTCCGTTTGATTCGGCGTGTTAAGGTCATCCTTTCACTCACTGACATTACAAAAGTTTAAATTCATTTCAACTAGCAGCATGTGTCATATAATCGAAAGAAAACCATTCCACAAAATCGTAAATTCCAAGCCTATGTGCTGCATTGCCTTGAAAAAAATGTATATTTTAATACACGATCTTATGACGGACTTAAACTATCACGCTCACTAAAATGCTTATAGAAACGGTGACAGGAGTCCGAAATGGCGCATGCGTATGAGCCCAGAGCTTGTTAAAAAAAAAAATCGAAATAAGTATTCTTACCTTCATCCCTTTTGGGTAGATTGGCTAAGTCAATAACTTTCGTGCTTTGATAAGAAATGAGTTTTTATTTTTCATTAAAACACACACAAAACAGTTCCACATTTGCAAGAGTCAGAAAAATTTTATGGAAAAAGAATCAGCTTCTTTCTCAATGTTACAAACCAAAATCTGAAGTGTCAAATTCAAGAGGCTAAAGTATAGTGTGTGAATATCTTATAGCCTAAAAAGGTAAAGTAATTACTCAACTTCATAATTTAAATTAACTAGTATGACGTCCCATGTTGAATAACTTCATCAGTTTTCGGGTATAGGATTTCTCAAGAATCAGAGCCATTAGCACAAAATAAATAATTAAACTGGTTTGAACTGGTAAACGTAATGCGCAAGCTTTAAGTGCCGAGATCATTCAAAGGTCTCACATCCTCTGCATATGTATATTGGAATGCAAATGAGGTCAAATTATTAAAATATCTAATAATTTTTTTAAATATTTTGCCAGTATTTGTTAGTATATTGCGTGTATGTGCGTGCCGTACTTGAATAACTTTAAATGATAATCTTCTAAGTAAATCCTAAATTTTTCTTGTTTATAACGCAAATGTTACTGATATATTTGTAAAAAAAAATGACACTGAAAAATAATAAATTAAAGGAAACTGGGTAAGTGAAAAGAAAGTTGTAGAAAATATGTATTACTAATTTTGTTTGTTGTTAAGCATAAAGCTACACAATGGATTATCTGTGTTCTACCCACCGCGGGTATAGAAACCAAATTTTTAGCGTTATAAACCCGCATACTTGAAGCGGAGCCACTGTGGGGGGGAGGGGGGAGAATACACTATTAAAGTAACCCTGTAACTCGAAAAAATGTGTGTGTGAATGTTGCGCAACGCACCATTTAAAATTGCCATTATTTTAATAGTAAGGAAATAAGTTATTCCTTTATAGTCTTCTACTTGAATTTGTGAACTTTGTATTTCTTTCGCACACATTATTTTTTAATCGTTATATATTTTTGTTATTGAATTTCAATCAAGCTCTTTCTTAGCATACTACGGTAAACGATAAAATTGATCTATTTACGTATATATCTCTGAACCATCGTTAACACGAACTTAAAAGTTCAGTCATAGCCATCTCTAAATTAGAACTGCTAACCAGAGGGATAACAATCAATCAGTAGCACCTGTCACCACAAGAACTTTTTCTGATGTTGAACAGAATAACGGGATTGACTATCACATATAACACACTCACAGCTGAAAATGCAGATCGTGTTTAGTAGCATAACCATTAGATCTTTCGATCCGATGCTCTGCGCACTGACTACTTGACCGCAGAAGTTTCCGTTCAATCTGAAAACATCACAGTTATCAATACACATATTAGGATATGACTTCACCTATGTACAAGTGTTGAAACCACGAGTAAATCAAATATGTTTGTGCGTATTATGTAACAAGAGATGTTGGCGTAACAAACCAGATTATGACCCCTTGGAATTACCTAATGACTGACATTTTCCCGTTCATCATGTTACGTATATTTCCTGTCGTTTTGTAACTTGATAAAAGTATTCCACGCTCGAAATATTGTTAGTGATTAATTTCGACATCGTTATAGATTGTATATATATATAAATAGAAGACATACTTTAGCTGGAGGAACTATTCATTTTATCAGATAAAATTCCCAACAGAAATGTTAAAAGTATTTAATAAAGCTTAACGTCAAAAATCGCGCTGGTATCTGATGTTTAGTTTACTGTAGAAAAACACGCATAATTTGGATAACTCGTAACGCGCATTTTTTGAATAACATACACCAAATCAATAAACACAAGTGGAGAATAACTAAGAAAAATCCACAGTTCAAAACTATGACTATTCAAACATTTATTGCGATATATATATATTAATATCGCATACCCATGCAAGGTGATACTTTTGGACTAGTTAGAAGATAGAATCGGTAGTGTGACTGTCCAGATAAACTAACACAGCCATTTTTTGTTGATATTTTGTTTCAGAATTTCACTCAAAGATACAGAAGAGCTATGTGCGCTAATTTTGAATTGGTAGACTAGAGGAAAGGTAGCTAGTCAATAACATCCACTGCAACATCTTGGGCTACTCTTGTCTGGTCGATTAGTGGAACATGATCCGTCACTCATGACGTATTCATCCAAATGGGCAGATGTTGTTGGATCTAATATACCAAAAATAATTGTCGTTGCAAACACACAGAAATAATTCGATGACGAGGAACCCACTTTGAAACTAATAATGCTTGGAGATGGCTTGAATGGGGTAATGAAGAAAAACTTTAATACAAGTTTAATATAACAGCAAATGTACAATGTTTCCACAAGGTTTTCTCATCATCCCCTGATTATTTAGTTCTTTATAAATTGCCGGGTGGTTAGGGCACTCGACTCGCAATCTGAGGGTCGCAAGTTCGAATCCCCGTCCCACCAAACATGCTCGCCCCTTTCAGCCGTGGGGACGTTATAATGTGACGGTCAATCCCACTATTCATTGGTAAAAGAGTAGCCCAAGAATTGGCGGTGGGTGGTGATGACTAACTGCCTTCCCTCTAGTCTTACACTGCTAAATTAGGGACGGCTAGCGCAGAAAGCCTCCGTGTAGCTTTGTGCAAAATTCAAACCAAACCACACTAGTTCTTTATGTTTCAACAAAAAAATTCAAAATCGGATAAGTATTGAAGTAGACAATGAAGAAAGAAAACAATAGATGGTTTTTAATTTTTATGTAATGATCGTCTGGTTTACTCTGGCCCATATTTATACCACTGGCCGTATGTTGAGTCTAGTATCAAAGTTTATGGCTATTACTTTCGCTGGGATTAGGATACGGGATAGACCCAGTCTATACTGGACAATTAACAAATTAATCATTTTATATAAAAGTTAGTACAGTAAATTAAGGCATAGTATGATTTTAGATACACTGTTGGAGAAGAGCTTTTAAATCGTGAAATATCTGCTTATAGTGATTCCCAATCCAGGGGTGGCGCTAAAGAGCGGCTTGCGGGCTATACCCACTCCAAAATTTGTTTTAGCCACCCCAACGAGCTCGTTCAACACGCTGGTGATCTACACATCTTGAAGCAAAGCTGCTCCGTATTCTGTCTGTCCCCTCCTCCCACCTGGAAAAGGTTGGCGCTGGCTCTGCTACAATTACTGTGGGACATCGAAATGACGTAATTCGCAGTCTGAACCCCTTAATCAGATGATGATAAACATTTGTTAAAATTTAACAAGTTTCTGATAGAAGTTATTGACAACACGTGTTTGTGTTCACCACTACACAACATTGTCAGCGCATTTGTGTAATTTTTGTTTTCTTAGCGTAAAGCTACACAATGGGCTATATGCACTTTGTTCACTGCGGTAATTCGAACCCTGAATTTTAGTGTTGCAAGTCTATATACACATTGTTGACCCATCGGGAGACTCTACTAGGATGGCTGTTGAATCTCTATAATAATAATAGTTAAAGTTACTTATCAACAGGTTTAATTAGGAGTAACATGCAGGTTACAAAAATGTACCATAGGTTATCTGTTGGGTACCCTCACTGATAGCGACGTTTTTGGCCTTTAGGAGTAACAAGTTATATATAGCAATAACAAAAACCCGATAAGACAAGAGACTTCTAAAAACAGAAAAGGATAAAACGAATAAAGGTTTATCCTTTAAAATCTCTCAGCTTTACATATTATTTTCTTTTATAATTGAAGTTAGGACAATATTATTATTCTGCAGTACTTAATTACATTTACAAATAGGCTTACTGAGTTACAACTACAAAAGCTTTTTCACTGAAAGCTATTTCTAAACTTCGTTGTGCAACAAAGTTTGTTGTCTGAGGATTTGGCGTTATAAAAACATTTACTGTAAAACTAACTGTTTTCATAACGTAATTAGATAAGAATAAATTAAAAGTATTAGAAGTTTACAATTTTGATAATCAACGTATAGAAGATTAAGAATTTCACACAAACTAACCTACGAGGTGACACACTGTTACTAGCTTTATTATAATTTTTTTTGGTCGGGCTGGGGATCAGAGGGTCGGAGGCTAGAGCTTTGATGCTTCTACATACCCTTTGCGCTTCCAGTTTATGGGCACGTAATAAAAGTGACAGACAAATCCATAATTGGCTTAGAGAGTCTAAAAAAGCCTTTGTAATGGCGGGTGATGCTAACTGACTGTTTTCCTACTGTTTAGCAGTTCAGAATTGAAAACAGCTATAACTGAATCCTAGGGGTCTCTGAACTAGGTGTTTAGTTCATTTGCTGTATAAGGTGGAGTTCAGGTTAAAAATAGTAAATAGCAAATACTCTGGTAGAGAAGAATTAGTTAAAACAGTTAATTCACAATATTCACGCAAGTGATTGTGTTAAAAACATGGGGAGAATAAGCATAATTTAATTATTCAATTAATAAGATTCAAGTTTGTTGGTCACTGTTTATTGAAAATAAGCTGCTGTCTTAGCAAAGAATACTACAAGATAACTAAAAAGATAACTGGTATACAGTACACTATAAATATTGGCTGTAGTTTATATGTAGGTTAACAATGAAGTTACAGAGTATAGTGAAGAAGTGTATTTGTTTCTAGTTGAGCGCAAAGCTACACAATTGGCAATCTGTGCTGTGCCCACCACAGGTATCGAAATCTGTTCTTTAGCGTTATAAGCCTCCAGACTTGCCGCTGAGCCATTGGGGGAGATGGAAAAGGGATAATTTCTAGATGTGGTGGTAAAAAAGAGGAATATCTATCTTTTAAGTGGAGACAGCCTGTTCGAATCCCGTTACCGGACATGCTTGCCCTTTCAGCTGTGGGGACATTATAATGTGACGATTAATCCCACTTTTCGTTGGTAAAAGAGTAACCTAAATGCTGGCGGTGGATGGTGTTGACTATCTGCCTTCCCTCTAGCCTATTACTTCTAAATTGGGGAAGGCTAGCGTAGATAGACCTCGAGTAGGTTTGCGTGAAATTTCTAAAACCAAACAAACAATAAATGGAGAATACACACACACACACACACACACGTACATACGTATTGCTTCTCTTTTTACGGTAGTGATATTCTTCATATATGTCTCTGTGGTAGATATAACCTAAACATCGTTTTCTCGCACACCAAACTAGAGGTGCGTCTTTCACATGTAAAACTAATCAGTTGTGAATACAGCAGATGCTTAGATCACATGGTAGTTTTCTCTATTTTGTACGTGATATTAAAACGATTTTGAAGCCTCACCATGTCGGTATAGTCCATGTCGCCACGCCTGTTCATGTTCTATCTGACGACAAGTACATCTTGGCAATAGCCCTGCAGCGTAGCTTCTATTGCAAAATGCTCCGTCGTAATCTTGTCAGATCCAAAGCACACCACTCTTCCCCGCATGCTTTCAATAATTTATCTAGCATACAAAATGATTATTTCACACAAAAATCCATGAGCGACTTGACCAATATGTCTTCGTACTGAATAGCTTGATTACATACCCGTTTCATTATCCAGTTGCTTAAGATACGCGACCGTTGAACGGGAGGTGTGAATGGAAGTCTTATCTTAGTGAACCCATACCCTGTTTGCCTCGTTTTTGTACAAAGTTGTTATTTCTTTGTTGCACACAGGGTCCAGAACAATGGTCTGATAGCAAGAAGAATTCATCTTGATCTTTGTATTCATTCTTCTAACCCCCAGTTTGCCCAAGGCACAGTATCCAGCTATGAACATGAATCCATTGGAAAAAAAAATTCGCGACATGTCGTGTACCAGTTTTGGAGTTTTTCTCCACACATTAACCAGTAGAAGATGGCATAAGACTTGCTTTATGCAGCTATCAAGATACACAAACAATTCGTCTAGTCTCATCACGTACTGCCATTTTTCTCCGGCTTAGTAGAGCTGATACAGTCTTCTACATTTGGGGACACGTGGACGGCTTTTGCCTCTGACTTTTGTGTTCATGTATTCTTACTATTATAAGATGCCTGAGGTACGACTTGTTTCGGGTCTACTTTTGGGTGATCCTGGGTCCCCAAGTTGATCCATATCCCTTTTTCTTTTCTAATGCCATTAAGTATAAGGTATATCTTCGTCTTGGAAATTCTAAATCCCCAATCTGAACACACCTTTTTGATCTTAGCGTTTTAATATTTTGTGTCGAAAAGGGCTGTTACATACCCTTATCAAAAGCAATCGAATATTGGTGCATCACACTATCTTCGAACACCAAACAACGTCAAAAACAGATGTTACTGTCACATGACTTGCTGATGTACATATTCCAAATTGTTTCAATATAACCACCGAACCACCCTCTGTATGTGTGTGTGTGTGTGTGTGCGCGCGCTCACACACGTACATCTTCATTTTTCTAGCTTTGTAGTTATCAATAAAGAAACAAATCATATCATAGTTATACAAACCACATCGCTTCACACGAACTTCACTGAAAGAAAATGAAATCAAGTAACCAATGAATTGAAATATAGTTACTTTGTGAAACAGACAAGAACTGCACAAACGTTTTAAAATGTTTGAATTGGAGAAGTCCGATTGCTTTTGATAGGCTTAACGGTTTTCATACAAATATTTGACATTGAAAACAATTAATGCTCGTCGATGAGCACTAAAACGATGTCTCGAGAAAAACTGTAGACTTATGCTAACACGTCGAAACAATGTCTCTAAATAAGCTGGAAACCTATGTTAGGATATTTAATCAATGTATTAAATAAAAGATAAAGGCGTGCGATGGCTTCCAAATCAAGTTATAAATGAGCTCTAGAAAATCGAAATACACGTACTGTCTACGAAAAAGCGCTGTAAACCTGATCAGAAAGACCACAATATCATCTACAAACAAGTAAACAGATGCTAGCAGATCGAACTACTGTCTTGAAGATGGTGCACGAAGCCCGTTGTTAATTTTGTACAATGTGTACACATATATGAAAGACAAGCAAGTTGTAAAAGTTCAAATAGCTATCAAGATAAAGTAGAAGAAAATGTTTTACCTGTATGTGTTCGTATCTCCACAATATTCGAACGTATTTCTTGATGACGTCATGTGATAGGCCCCACTTGTACTTGTTCTGAGGTCAACGTTTGTGGGAGACGCAAGGTTAATAGTGACGGGGTATATACTTTGGAAACTGGGAAAGCTGGCAAACGGAGGATTTCGAAGGTCTGATTTTGAACCTTCACTAGGGTTATAAGCACCAGTTTTTGACAAACAGGCTGTGGAACAACTGGAACCACTGGCCGATTTTTTAAACTCTTGCCTTTGGTGACAAAATGCAGAATAAGAACTTGTAAAACCACAAGCGTTGTTGGTGGCGTGCTGAAACTGAGAAGAAGTAAGCGGTTCCGAAGAGGAGCCATTCACTTGATTTGAGTTAATATTTGGCATTCCGTTACACTGTGCACTAGTTCTAAAATTCACAAAGCTTGCGTTACTAGCACTAAAACTTCGCGCTTGACTAAATGCTTCTCTTTTCTCTGCAATTGTGATTTCGTCCTTATCTTTACCCAATGTAGCATTGTCAAAACACATACTTGTCGCTTTTTGAGTAAAATTGCTGAACGCAGAAGCCATGTTGTTTTCCTGCAATAAATGTTGAAACTTTTCTTGGTTTTTTCGCACAAATTCTGCAAACAAATCACTATTATCCACAGATTTTTTTTTTCGCGTTTCCTCAAAGAAGCTTTTCGCGTTGTGAGTCGCGTTTCCAGACGACATTTCACTGTGCCAGTTGTGTTCGTTTTTACGAACGCGAGAAAACCGTTCTTGAGTTTCTTTCATTAATTGCGCTAGTCTTTCTTGTCGTTCTTTATCGCAAAGAGAATCTTTAAAAATCCTCCCTGAAGTTTCTCTGAAATTATCGTTCATTGTTTTTATTTCATTTGTGCCCCGGTGATTGTCACTATGAGAGAAGAATCCTGTAAGTTTCACCTTTTCAGACTTTGGTGATGGCGGGATGCCATGTCTGGGACTTCTCCGGCCATTAACTGTTATTACAAGTGATGAGTTCAAACAAGGTTTTTTCCAGTTAACGGGTTTTTCACCTGCGGAGAAACCTATCAATCGCACTTGTATCTCGTCCTTTGTGGGAGTCAAAGCATCCATGTTTGTCCCACCGGCATCCTCCTGGGACACGGCGGTGGGTTCCGGAGACATGTGAAGGAAAAGATCTATAAATAGATATATATGTGTATATAATATTTTCTTATTCAAAAGCATTTCCAAGTAGCTTTTTTTTTAAATACCTTGTGTAGTACATAATTACGTAGGAGAACATGCATAGTTGCTAATGCTTATTCTTTCAAAATTAGGAAACAAAATATAAGTGAAATATTATAAACAGCTGAACTTAAGATACACATTTAAAGAAGTTTGATTACGAATAACTATAAATGTACAAATGGATTTATAATTGAAGTCTTTAATTAAGTAACTTGTATTACGTGGTAAATTATTCGTAAAGTTCTTTGATTAATAGCATATTTATTGTCCAATTACCAGTATTTTCTGCATGTTTTACCTGTCTTCTTCACACGAGGTAAAATCAATTTATTTATTATCTCCTCAGTTCACATTCGAACCCGAGATCTCTCACACAATAGGCAGTTGCACTATCAACAGGGCTAAACTGTTAACCCCAAATTGGGTGCTAGGTAGGCACTTTTTAATAACCCAAAGTATTACAAATATAAATATATATATACAAAGTTTAGGTTTTTGTTATGTCGCTCTTTAAATATACAAGATTCGTGGAAGATTTGCATTATGTTCTTATCATCATACCTTTTAGTAACTTAACACTGAATATAGAAGTTTTTGTTATCAATGTTGTAACTTCATGATAAAGCACATGTTAAATATTGTCAGGATTTTAAATACATTTTAAAGCACAACTTTAATAAAATGTCTAACTCTGCCCCATTAATATAATTTTGAGATGATAATATTACTTTTCCAAAAGGACAGTGAGATTATGGAAAGGGACGGGAACCAAAATATAAGTTTAACTGTGTTTAGGCCTTGTTGTAAAGATAATTCCTTAATAATACATCTATTAGTAAAATAAATATACCATAAATATTTTCAAAATAATAATGGATATACCGTTCCAATTTTCTTTAATAGAGTAAAATAATTATTGCATATTTTAGGGTTTCACAACCCGAGTAACAAAGTCTCGACACTTATATTTTTTTTCTTTGGTATTTAAAAAAGGGGCCACCTAGACACCCTATATCCTCTCTTGCACCATTTAGTTCTGCAATACTTTCTTTAGTTCGTGAAAAATGGCGCACAAATTCAACAGGAGTGTGTATACAATGTTCAGATTATTAGGAGGAATAGTAACTTGTAGATTTTGTCTTGCAGGATTTGTTTGGATGAGCTCACTCTAACAATGTAGCTCAACCATTCAATAAGGAGGATTCCCGCTTTTGACCAAGCTAGGGCTACTTTTATTGGCAAATTTTAAAAGCGTAGTTTATTTGTGGAAAGCCTTACGACTTTTATGAAGAAGAGAAAAACGTATTAATTTTATAATATTACGAAGAAAACGTTATTCGTTATACACCTGCACGTTACGCTAATCCTGAATCGTACACTGACGCGATACCATAAAACGTTACCAAGAAAAAAAAACAAAAAATTTTGAGATTTGTTCATGTGCTGTACTATTTCGTTCAAGGCTTTCTATAAAAAAGAAAAAAGTGAAACACAACTTGTCATCTTTAGGTTAGCAAACTAAACGTTCTTGCATTTGTTTTTCACAAAAACAAAAAGTTTTGAGCACGTTGTCCATTATTTAATAGTCTTGTTGAAAAGTATTTTAAACGAGTTACAAGACATCAGATGACAAGCGCAGTTTCACTCGTAAGTAACAGCGAGTATTGTGAATTATTTCAGGAGCTTTTTATCAGCACTGATGTTGATACACACACGAGTTCCGGGTGCAGTGCTCACGAGCGCGAGTTCAGGATATCGATACAGCTGACATCCAATAGACCTGTTGTACGAGTAAATCAATATAATGTGCAAACGCTACATTCTTACTCTCCTAAAGTGCATATTTAATATTTCCAAGATATTTAATTTGCTAATCCTCTAATTTAGACCATACTAAACCCGGTCGAGGTCATGTGCTAATTCAACCCTAGGTATTACTTCATATAGCAGGATCCAGTCATGGAAACTATTTATTAATTCATAGGTATTACTTCCTATAGCAGGATCCAGTCGTGGACACTATTTATTGATTCATAGGTATTACTTCCTATAGCAGGATCCAGTCATGGAAACTATTTATTAATTCATAGGTATTACTTCCTATAGCAGGGTCCAGTCGTGGAAACTATTTATTGATTCATAGGTATTACTTCCTATAGCAGGATCCAGTCGTGGAAACTATTTATTGATTCATAGGTATTACTTCCTATAGCAGGATCCAGTCGTGGACACTATTTATCGATTCATAGGTATTACTTCCTATAGCAGGATCCAGTCGTGGAAACTATTTATTGATTCATAGGTATTACTTCCTATAGCAGGATCCAGTCGTGGAAACTATTGATTCATGCGATCGTTGTATTGTGTCCTACTTTACTTTGTGTATGTGGGACTAATTTGCGAACAGATATTTATTGATACTTGTGATTCAATTTTCTTATTGGTCAGATACAGATTAAAGGTGAACTATAAATGCAGTTTTAAACGTTTTCAACTGTGCATTTTGGTTCTTTTTTTCTTTTTTTTTACCTGCTGCAAATTCTCGTCTTCGTTTTCTGTATTTTTCGTCTTCGTTTTTTCTCTTTAAAAACATGCTGACTATATTCGTGCCTTAATTTTATGTAAACTTCATTTTTAATTTATTTTGTTTGAATTAAAAATTTTATGACGTATTTAATTAAATACAATTTACTTTGATTCAGCCTAAACAATAATAATCCAACCATCTATAAAATTCTGTCCCTGTTACCTGTTATTCTGCATACTAGGTCTACGATTAAGTTATTGCGAAGATCAGGTAATTGTGTGTGTGTGTGTGTGTGTGTGTGTGTGTGTGAATAGAGATCTTGTCAATAACTTATTTTAAATAGATGTGAATGTTACTTACAGAACATGTAAGACACAATAGCACAAAGTTGTCTCCGTGGGTATGTAGCTACTCAAAAACCTCTGCTTAGACGAAATAACCAAACAAAAAGGCTTAAAGTTAAATGGCCATCGGATTTCAAACAATGGGATGAACAAAGATGGAAAAAGGTATTATTTACAGATGAATCCAAATTCAAATTGTTTAGCAACAATCAACGGTAGTTTCTGTTCGATGACAGAGAACTGTATCATGGCCTACAGAGAAGCATGCTGGGGGAACAATACAAGTGTGTGTTGCATCTTAGCCAGTTATATTGGAGATCTACTTAAAAGTGATGTCACCCTGATCACTAACATTTCCAAACAGATTCTTATCCATCATGTCATCTGTTGGGCAGGAATTAATCTTCCATCAATACAGTGATATCAAGCATGTAGCAAATGTGGTGATACTACACCTAGAAGGTAGAAGTAGCTTGGCCTGCACGACGTCTCGATACGAATGTTGAATATATAGAAACTGAGAAGGTCAAACAGTAATTAAGTAATTTGGCTGAATTATGTGGAATTGTACTGGAGATTTGAAACAATATTTCACAATAATGCACTGATAAACTTATGATAACATAACAATAAGGTATGCATTTTTTCTGTAATAATGATAAAGTGACAATTTACTTGATATTGCTCATTTTTTGTGACTCCTGCATGTATATCACTCGTACGTTTCTGTAATTATTTCCGATACTATAAGTGTATACACACACATACACAACGCAAGAAATATGTTAACTTAATGTCTAAAGGAAGGAGGGTGTAACAACATTTATATTTGATGATTTACGGAAATTTTACTCAAGAAGGCTAAAAAATAACAAAAAAAAACAAACAAAAAGAAAACGTCACACATACAAAATAGGCAAAAGTAAAACTAGGGTACAAATTACAATGGAAGAAAAGTAAAATATCCTAATAAAGAGAAGTGTGTATAATAGTGGAACCTATACAGCGGTAGGGCTACACCTTCTGTCTGAGCTAACCTCAAGAAACAAATTTCGCATAGGACATAAAATTAGAATTTAAATATTATTAAAACATGTTGATGCCCAAGCCCACAACAATCTACATTTAAAACTACCACACACCCAATAAAAACTCAACCGCCTCATTGACCAAATGTTTATATGAAGGATCTTAAATAACCAAGACTTGCCAGCTAAGCAACAGGCACCAATGATCAAAGAATGTCTTCAGGTACTTGGTTGTTTCTTTTTTTTAGAATTCTTGTTTGTTTGAAGCTAAGCACAAAGCTACACAATGAGCTATCTGTGCTCTGCTCACCACGAGTATCGAAACCCGGTTTCTAGTGTTGTAAATCCGCAGATATACCGCTGTGCCAATGGGGACATTTTATGAGAAGCTATCCTACATCTATTAGAATGGTGGACGTAAAGATGAAAACGACCAAATTACATAGATAGTTTACATATAGTTTGCAAACCATTTGAAATCTGAATCCCTTTGATAGTTAGTTCTGGTAAATCTGAAATTATAAAATATATACAACTTATATGGTGATCGGAATTTTCGGTTTCTTTAGAAACCTATAATTTTCTTTGATGTTTCTGTTCTCAATTTTTTGGATTTCATTCAAATTTTGTGACGATTTGTTGCTTCAGTTATTCGCAATTTGGAAGAAACTGAAAATACGGGCTCTCCATCAAGATGCACATCGAGATGAAAAGAAACACGTTTGAAGTAATGCGCGTCGAGATGAAGAGAAACACATTAGAAGTCATGCGTGTCGAGATGAAGAGAAACACGTGTGAAGTAATGCGTGTTAAGATTAAGAGAAGGCCCGTTTGTTATGATGGTTTGTCTGAGGCAACTTGTCTTCTTTCCCTTTACCACTACGTGTCTGGGACTTGCCTTGCCTTCACGTCTCATTTAGATTTGTTTACCTTTAGTTAAAACCTTAACTTTTCCAAATAATTCATAATTGGCTCTAAGAACATTAATCCATACGATATAAATTCACCAATACCTCAAGCGAAGGAAGATTGCTTAACCTTTGGGCACC